ATGATGAATATTAACAATTACAACAATATTTACAACAGCTTACATTTCACAATACAAAAAAGAAGCACGTGTTTCCTCTCGGAATGGAAACTAAGAATCTACCAACATTGTAATCAGTGGGGGCTTGGTTTAGAAAACCGAAGAGACAGTACGTTTTTACCTCAGACTTATCAACGTTAAGGTCATCTACAATTTAAAAGATCATTAAAAAAAAAAAAGCTAGATAAATTAATCTGTTTACAATACCAAAATAAATATTTGGGATTACACGTGCCTCAAAGTACATAATGCCAGCCTTCACACTCACACACACACAATACTCAGTACGCTCTATTGGTAGTGAGGCCTGGATTTACAAAAGAATATACATGATTCTGCAATTTAGCTAAAATAACAGCGCCTATACTAATTACTATTAATATCAATGTGTTGCACGTTCCATTATAATGAGATATCAGAGCGATTTTCCGAACCGGTCTCAAACGATCTCTCAGACTCAATCTAAAGTTGAGTTTGATATTAAAAACTTAAACGGATATAATATAAAAAGGTTTATTAGAAATTACAATAGAAGAACTACTATAGTCATTGAGAAATATTTTCTGATATTTATAAAAGAAAAAAAAATCAGGATGATATCAAGGGTCCTGATTAAAACATCAATTCTACCACCATTAAATGGGCCATTATTTTGTGAGAATAAAATCGACTATCTTACCTTATGGGAGACGGTTTCTTCAGTACAAAAATAAATTGAGGGCAGAGATGACGGGAATTAAGTGTGTGCTTCCAAAATAGGAAATGAAGGTTTATGGTTTTACCTAAGCTTTGTTGCCATCGCTCCTTTGTGCCTTTGTTCAACTCTGTAAGCCACTCAGCTGAGTATTTTATTGTTTGTTGTTGTTGAAAAGCGCCCTCTAATTACTGAAGCAAACGAAGGATCGCCGACAGCACGAAGCTCTGGGTTCTGTTTACGTAATTAACCAATTAATCATTACTGATACCCTGATTTAACTGCGCATGACTGTTGATTTTGTACCATTAATACATTTTATTTGAATTGATGATATCAAAATATCAAAAATAAATCTATGTAAAGAAATCTATAGAGAAAGAAAATAAATTTATTTTCTTTCTCTATGGTTATACGTACCGATGATACAGAACATAGACAAGCACGACAGTGAACAAGAGGAAGAGGAGCACGGTACCGCTAAACAAGGTAATTTTTTATTTAAATTAAAATTTAAAACTAGGCATCTCAAATACTCCCCCACCCTCGATTCTTCGCACGTCGCATCCGATCCCCTACCCAAATTTTCTCTGGATCCACCCTGTGGAACCAATAATGATACGAACGGACAGAACACTGTAAATTCTGCCTGATTCGATCATGGAAAGAACAAGGAAAAATTGAAATCTCTACAATTGCAAAGTTGGTAATTTTATTAACTATTTTCATTTCATTTTGTAATTTACTTTTTGATTTTTATCTTGTGTTCGTCTTATTTGTGTGATGTTTTGGTTTTCAATGTGAACACACCTTACATGAGCGTGTACCACCAATTATACAGGCATAAAGTTTTTGTTCAATAAATTGAACGGAATACGGACGATACCGATTGCTTCATGATCGACCGCTTTTGCGAGTACCAACTGGTGCGATTACAACTGGTACGAGGTACTAAACCGAAGAGCCGGCAGATTGTCGCCCTCTTCAGCAATAGCTTTATAAGTTTCCTCGAATCATGGGGGCTGAGTTTATTATGAACGAATTTCTCCATGCTCGAATTAAAGACAACTCCTCTAATTAAAGATCATTTGAATTTATAAATTTAAAGAAAATTTGTTTGTGGGTCACATGAACCCAATTTAAAAAAAAATCTTTATGTGATTAGTTTTTAAATCAAGAACCAAAGCTGCTAAAAACCATGAAAAAGCCCGGTCCAAAAAATGATCTTTAATAAGATATTGAAGAGAGTTAACACTGTTGAATAGATATAATATAAATCATCAAAGGTACATATATAGTGTTTAAATAAGGACACTACAGGGTAGCCTACGATGTTCCATCATGTCCTTATTTAAACACTGTATATGTACCTTTGATGATCTATTTAATAAGAAAGTTATACGACTAAAGCATTATCAGAACCATAAAATTGTTTATATTTAGTACTGCTCCAATTGCATGACAATGGAGTTTTATAATTATTAATATGATTGAAATAAAAGCGCACATAAACGTTAATCTATCGGTCTCTCTCTAATGTTCAGGAAACTTTGAACTTGCAATACGGCCAGAGGCAGAGCCAATTGCACAAGACTTACTAGATATTTCTACTACTACAGTATTATACAACAATGATAATTAGTTCCTACACCTACTTTTGGAATACCGGTAATTCCTCCGGGCTACGGATGCCTTCTTTAAAATTACCGTGTGTACATTCAAATTAGAAAACAAGTAGAAAGCATTAATAAGGTAGTGAACTTTCGTTTACCTTTGTACACATTCTTCTTGTTATAAGTGTAATTACATTATTTAGATACTAGTATAGAAAGAGATTATATACCCTAATCGGCTATGGTTAGGTGGCAATGATGAAGTATTTTAATCGAAAACCAACTTGTCAGATCACTGGTTAGTGAAACAAATAAACTCAATGATTTACGATTTTTAAATACAAATTCTATTTTTTACAGCCAGTACACTCTCCACGCAGTTTCCCGTGGGTGTAACACAAGCTTGGTATTGTAAATAATTTATTAGTGTCGATCTTAATTGGAATATGTTCAATTGCAACATCATTCCAATTAAGAAACGCGTTGCAATTTGCCTTCAAATCTAGATCTGATTCAATGCTGAAATTAAGTACTGTAGCCCCTCTCCCACTAGGGTTTTTTTCAGCATACGAGTTACAAGAGAATGCCGAGTTGCTAACTCGGCAAAC